TCGTGGGACATTGATAGATGGTGGGCATAGTGACTGTAGAAGCAGCACACTGTGCTCGCAGTGCATTGAAGTAAACACTGATGTGCAGCGGTGTGATGGGTAAGGCTGGGGAGGATCTAGAAGAAGAGCTTAGTGAGATTAGTGGAGTAAATGGAGCCATCCATAAAAGTCAAACTGAGCCATTGCTCTTTGCTTTATTGTCCCGTGTCGCCATGATGTCAGACTAAACAATAAGACGTTGCTTGCAAACCTGAAAGTTTAAAATTAAAATGTTCATCTTAATCCAACACTGTTGGAGATCTTTTTTTTCTCTCCATCTGCTTTGTATTTCAGGATATACAGACACTTGGCTGACTGCAACTCTGCGTGCCTCTGATTTCCTGTTTTACAAAATTACTTTCAGAGAGCGGGAGGGGCTCTTCGAGCCGAGAAAAGCTTCACATTCTTTCACATATTCTGTCAGTGTCAGATGTACAAATATGCAAACTGTAACTGCGCGGCACTCTGGGGTACTGAGGCCGTGAACCCTTTCCCAGAGAGTCTTACCTAATAGCTGAAAATTCTCCAGCTAGGAGACTTGAAATGTCTTAACGTTGTGTCGTTGTGCGAGTCTGATAGAATTAAAAACGTTAGTACATTTATCATCATGCAGCTTATTTTGCACAGCCCCCCTTCTTGGAAGTCAGGATGTTATCTCTGCCTAAATTAACTTCACACTGTTATGAAGCTCTAATTGGTTTAATCAGAGAAGTGATTAGAACACGAAGAAGCAATAAATGGAAGAAGAATCGTGTCGCATTAAACCCTCAAGTCACAAGTTCAAACTGTACCGCAGCAGAGTGCTCGGTATCAAAGCCAACGCAGGAATGTTGCTAATTGCTCGTTTAAAAGCTCATTTTCATGGAAATGTAAAAAGTTCAAGCTGGCAATGAGACTTCTAAATGATCTTCACTGCACTCTGCTTGAAGCCTCTGTTTGTTCTTATGGATGCACTTTGAAAGCTTTGCTCACATAGCAGTCAACAAATATCTGCTCAGCTTTCCATTCACGTCGATCAAAGCCCCAAAAGTCCTGTAGGAGGGTCCGGTTTTATGTGTATAAAGCCAAATCACATCAACAGTCGCCTCAAGGGCAGCCATGTGCCACGACTGGTTTGGGTCCTCGTCAGAGAGGTGATTCGGACGCTAACATTAGATGAAATCCTGACTGGAGGGGCCATATCAGTGCAAAACTAAGCAGGTGTACACGCCTCGCTAATGAAGTGCTGACTGACTTTAGGAACTCTTTAACAAATATTAGTTTCTTCCATGTTAAATATAGTTATACAGCTGCCATACCTATTGTATGAAAAGTGTTTTGGCTTTGACTGGTGAGTAGTTAAATATAAACTCACTGGCCAATGTTGGATCAGACCAAGCATCAGAAAAAAAGTGATTTAAGTGATTTTGCATCTGACATGGTTGTTGGTGCCAGAGTCTGAGTATTTCAGGAACTGGGATTTCCAATCACAGCTGTATCTAGAGTTTACAGAGAATAGTAAATAATTCTGGAAATATGCAGCAAGGGGCATTTCTCTTAGTAAGAATGTTTTGTTGATGGCAGAGGTCAGAGGAGAATAGCTAGAGAGGAAGGAACAGTAACTCAAATGACCACTCTTTACAACAGCTGAAGACCACAACCCGGTGGCAATTACATAGCATCAATCTGCCTCACTCAGCCTATCTGAGTGTTGCTACTGACCATCTTCTGATGGCTGCTTTCAGCAGGATAACACACCGTTGTCACAAAGCTCAAATCATCTCTGAGTGGTTTCTTAAACATGACGCTGAGTTCACTGTGCTCAAATGACCTCCACAATCACCATATCCCAGTACAACAGAGCACCGATGGGATGGAACAGGAGATTCACATCTGCAGCAACTGTGTGATCCTATCATGTCAATATGGATGAAAGTCTCTAAGAGATGTTTCCAGGACTGTTTCCAAGAACCGAGGCAGTTCTGAAGGCACCAGTGAGGTGCACCTAATGAAGTGGCCATTTCTTCTTCCTATCATATATCTCTGACAAAAAAAATGGTTTTCTAAATTTATGTATAAGGTTACAACAAAGACCCACTTCATGAATTCATATCTGACTGGTTTTTACACGCCGTTATAGATTAGAAAACAAGCTTTCCCGATTCACCACTTAAAATTATGAATCAAACCACAGACATATATTGATTATGTACATTGATTACTTTGCAGCCAACCTTTAAAACTCTTGCTTTGTCTTCCAGATGATTCTTACACTCCCTGTACTTGCACATTTTAATTTGTTAATGCTAATAAAGTTATTGATTTTCTTCGCCGGAGGAGTGCATGCTGATATCTTTGGTGGGAAAAAAAAAACTTGCATGCTTTTTCTGAATAATTTTCCTCTTCTTGGCTCTTGTTTTTCTTCCATCTTCAATCACAATTAGCTCAGCGAATGTAATCCAAACAAATTTCAGTTTCTTTGTGGATCTCAATAGATTCCTCGTGTGGACTTTCGGACTCTGGACGAGCTTCATTCTTCATTTCATGCCATGAGTGTTATTGGCATTTTGCTACTTTACTATACAATCAACCATTTTTATTTTTTGAATGTTAGACCCACATCACAGTGCATACTGTGTCCCTTTTGCTGCCGCTGCTTTGCTGAAGAAGCAACGTACTGTGTCGTGTAAAATATGACCGACTGTGTTGTTTGATGCGGTTGCAGGATGAGCCAGATGTAGGCATGTGTGGCCTTGGAGGATGACAGCTGTTCCTTTCTGAAATAATTCATCCACTTTTTTCTCAGCATATATAAGCAATATTTGTCTGCTTTAGTGACCCAAGGTTAGCTCCTTGTTGTCGAGTTTCTAATGTCTAGGTCTTAGCCCAGCTGTACCTGTGAGTCTTGGGGTGACAGTAGCAGGGTCTCATACACCCATGTTTTATTAATTGTTGACTATAATAAAACAAATTTGTCAAATTTTTCATTTGATGGTGGGCCAAATTGTTGAAAGTTAACCCCAGGACTCTTCTAGTCCAAAGCCATGCTTTTATATGAGATGCAGCATGTGGTTTTGTTATTGTCTTACTTAAGACTTCACAAGGCCCACCCTGTAAGAGACATCATCTGGATGGGAGCAAATGTTGCTCTAAAACCTGTTTATGCCTTTCAGCAATGATGGTGCCTTTCCAGATATACAAGCTGATGGAAGCGTTTCAGAACTGACCTCGGATAACAAGCCCAATTTCCATGTTCCCAGGAAATAATTTCACAATTTATTCATCTAACTAGAGTTTTCCCCTTTGCTTCAGTGCATTTTAGATGAGCTTTGGCCCAGAGGAGACAGCGGGGTTACTGCATCGTATTAACATAGGGCTGCTTCTTTGCATCACAGAGCTTTAACCTTGTGGTGGCACCACAAACTTTGTCACAGAATAATGCCTGTTTTTACAAAGATCACAGGCACAGATCCTATTTTGGCACTATTTGTCTCTTTCACAGAGATTTCTCCACATTCTGTGAATCTTTTGGTGACATTATGTATTGCAGATGATATTCAGTGTCTTCACTTGCAGAAGAAATATGTTCCACCCTTTGTAGAGTTTTGAACAGAGGTGAACCTCTTCCCATCTTTACTTCTGAGAAACTGTCCTTCTCTTAGATGCTCTTTTTATACCCAATCATGTGATTGACTAAGAACCTAATTACGCTTGTGTAGCAACAATAAAGCCAGAGAGCAGCAGAATGTGGGGACGCTTAAGAAAGCGAAGAGAATCGATGTTTCAAAGCTGAATTCTATTAAAGTTTATAAAAATGCTTTTAAAGGCACAGAAACCTTATTAAGGAAACGCATAACGTGTTAAAACACAGATGTACATGAACAGATGGTGTAACCGGACCTCGTTTTAATCTGTAGTTAAATCTACTTTAAACTATGAAGCAGTAGGTCACAAAAAACAGGAAAACCTTGTGGAACATTGAGCCATGATTCATCATTGTCAACACCTTGTTTCTATTGAAAGCTCTGTGTGTAAAAAGTGGAGCCAGTGAGGAAACGACTGTAGTCTGCATTCTTTTTTATACCAAGAGGGAGGCGATTCCTCTGGATAATAAAGAAAAAGGTTTTATAGACATTTATGGTAAAACAAGCCTTTGACTCCCTTTTTATGAGGTAAGGTAGGCAAGTCAGTCATTTCTGCACTGGCTCCATTTTTCCCTCCATCCTTTACATACAGAGTTTTTGGAGGTTTATTCTTTTTAAACTGTCAGTGTGAACAGGTGTCTGCATACAAGTTTTACTTCAAGTAGTCTCAGCAATTCGACATAAAGATATGTGCAGTGCTTACGCCGTTATCTTAAAAACAAACCTTTTTAAGATCATCTGATAAAAGTCAGTCAAAGGTGCTGCAAAAAAAAAACAAGGTGTTGACATGTTTTTGAGTCAAAATACGTGACAATCGATAGTTTTGTGTTATTTTTGTGTTGTTGTTTTTATGATTCCTGCAGCAGTAGCTTAACGTTGATTTAACTACAGATAAAAATGAGGTCAGGCTACCCCATCTGTTCAAAAACAGAGTACTGTAAAATTAAATGAAGTTAAGAGGCAAACCCTGGTTATAGTGTGAGTCGCTTGATAACCATTAACCATTGTGCAGTAGATCAAATATGTTTTCAACCCTCTTCTTTCTGTAATTCAGCATTTAAAAAAAATAGAAGAGCAGTAACTGTCACCACAGCTCATCATGCCGTGTCCTCAGGTTTTGTTAACATTCTCAGGCATGGTGTTAAACAGTGACTTGATAGACCATCACCACGTGGGTGTGTTTAGGGCGTAAGCAAAACCACTGGAGTGTAATATTTGCTGTACTTTGTGACCAAGGAGATTGCAGAATGCTGTGTTTGTTCAGCCCACGCTCACCTGATACTTCTCACCTTTAATGGAAGAGCTCATTACCTGCCTGGAAAAAAAAAAAAGAGAGCACAACAGACAGGACGCTGTCTACCTGATCCTGGACCGCTGACTGTGGCTGCGAGAGGCAGGAGAAAACTGGGAAAGGTAAACATGCACCACTTTAATATTTAAAAACGCCGCAAACTGAAATATCTATGTGGAGGAAAAGCGGAGAGCTGTTAGTCCGTGTGTTTAAAAAGATGCAGCCGTGACAGCACGTCTGCCACTATTTTGATAGCGTGAGAAAGTCCTGTGGTTTTTATTCTGTCAAGCGTTTTGAAATGCTTCCTGTGTGCTGTAATGAAGTCTGACACTTTTGTCTCTCAGAGTAAACGACACAGCAAAACCTGCTCGTTCAGAGTGTGCTGATGAACACAAAGGGGGGAAAAGTCACTGGAAGTATGGAAGAGCAGAAATTAGTCCTCAGTTTCTCTTTCCGCCCTTTTGTCTCCCCACTCGTAACGTTTCCCTCGTAATCAAACAGCCCCGAGCAATAGTGATAAGCAAGCGCAGGAAGCGTTTCCCAGTCAGCAGTAATCTCCTACACATTGAACACATTACAAATCCACCTACAGATGACTGACTTCCAGGTTTTACGGGACCCTAACCACACCCTGGCTCCATGAAAAAAACAGAAGCATAAAGCATTGATCTTTCCCTTGTATTTGGTTTACACACTATATCCGTCTGGAAAGTCCAGTGCTCTCGCTCTGTCTCCATATCCAGATTCCTGTCGCCCTAAAATTGTATCCAAGGAAAACTTGGAACAAAGGTGTCATCTGAGAAGAGTCTTTTGCTGAATATTTTATCCTGTGTGTGTTGCCTTGGGTGCAGACATTCTAGGAAACTTCTGTGAAAATGAGATGCGTGTTGAGAACTGGATCTTTGTTTGTCCCGTTTCTTTTAAACTGAGGCTTTTCTGGCATATCTATATTTACAGAGACTGTTTTGTTCCAGTTTCATGAACCGTTTAAATCTGCTGGTATAAAGGTGTGATTGTGTTCTGGATGTGAGATGGAGATTAAATGACTATCTGGTTCACCCGGTAGATTTTCCTCTGGAAAGGCACGCTGGTGTTTCTCCTGTTCTGTGCTCATGTTAGAGCCCTGAACGCGTTCTGTTACATGCAGAACTTCCTAACATCGACCAGGATAGCAGTGACCTGGTTTGGTTCACACTTCTCACTTATTTTCGGAAAGCTGAAAGGAATTATTAACAACTATAAGGCCAAAAGATAACATCTCATAGTTCCTGAAAACACTTGTTTCATTCATGGCTTAAAACAGAGCCTAACCCTAACCATACCAGTTTTTCCAGCGACTTGCAGAAAGTAACCAGGTTAACACAGTTTTGCTGATGTTACATGGTAAAGCACAAGGGTCAAGACATATATATGTTTTTCCAGAGACAGTTTTAGTGCAGTGAGCATAAAATAATCCCTGAAATCAGCCAACGTACCCATGATTGACCCAGATGAATCAGAGGGTGTAGCTTTGGGTACTTTAACAGAAGCTATGACCCCGACAGCAGAGTGACAGTATGTGTCAGATCTGCTTTGGCTCTAGCTATCATTAAAAGCATCTTCATAATCCTGCTTCGTGAGACAGGACAGACTTCTGGTGTGAGCCATAAAAAAAAAAGTGTCGCACTCAGACTGCTGACAGGCTGATATCAATATTTAAAGTGCAGACACAGTGTAGGTCTCTAGCCCCCCTCCCCCCACCCCACAGTGGCTGCTGATTGCTCAGAGGGCGAACAAAGTGAGGCTTTGAGGTTGAAGATCTCAGGCTGTTCTGAGGGATGTTACGCTCTAGGGGGCTTAGCATCCAGCTGTATTTACTGTATCACTAATAAGCAGAGATGTTGCCAACTTCACTGGCTTACTGATACAGACACTTGTTAAAAAGCAATGGATCACAGGCTATTTAAAATCTGAACCATATCACAGCTGCCAAATAATGAGCATCTAGACTCCTTGAGCTCCCTCGAGACCCGAGTCTCAGAAAAAGGGACTCAAGTGTAACCTGAAACTAAAATGGAAACGGCTGAAGTCACACAAAGTTGGGGAGATATGTAAATCCTTTGTTACACCTGCTAGCGCCAGGCAGATGTACAAAGGATGAAATACTAGCTGACTTTAGATCTCTCAGGTGTTCCTTTCAAAAACCCTGGATTAAATTTGTGAAGGACAGCAGGCTTTGTTTATCCACATGAAGTAGAAACCAGAGGGCAGCTTCTGATGCTTGACAGCATCGGTTTGTATAAAAACGTTTGCGTGATCAACTCATTGAGCCTCTTATTATTGTAACTCACAGCTTCGATTGCTGTAAGGCATCTACACACCGGACGTGTAAGATTCAATTTGCACAGGTGTTTGCAACTGGAAAAGGCGAATCACTTAAAAACTGGATGCATGGTGGTGGTGTCATTCCTGCCGGTGGAACTGCCGTCAGCCCTGTGGCAAACATCATCAAATCTTCCAGACACACTGCTGTTGCCTTCTCTTCACAATCAAGGAGATAATCTGCCCAAAAGCCAAGTGTTAGGACCTCCTTATGCCGCTTGTTGCTTCCTGCTGGGCTGAGATCTGGTCTGAACATGCTCTCCAGTTCTGAAGCAGTCAGGGCCTTGGCAGAGAAGCATAGGAGTGGGGCCAGCACACTGGAATGTTTTTGCAGTGCACTTAAAAATTAAAATGCACTTAAAATTCATGGGTTCAAAATGTTTTTCTGACTCACCTGTTGTTAATGCAGCTGTTTACACCCACTGAGTAAACGTTTCCAATTTTTCACATGCAAATAAAAAGTTCTGACCAATCAGATCACTGCAATCTGGCAGTGACTGGCAACAAGTGGACTCGTAGATCAAAGTGCGCACTGCTACTTATATAGACATAAAATAATACTGTTTTACCTGTGATGCACAGCCAGGCGCTGCTCTCTGGTCAATCAGCTCTCTACCTGCACTCGTGCTAACTCTGATAACAACAGCTCAAACTACCTCACTGACATTCTGATTTACGTCTCTTTCTAAACGCGCTCGGCATGTGAAGGTCTTTAGGCTACAGATCTACATTGAAGCGATGGCGGTCTCGGGTACTGAGGCAAACTTGTGCAACGTGAGCTTGTAATGTGCACATTAGGTGCATTAGGAATCACTTCCCCTGTTTCTGTCAGTCTTGAAAAGAACAAGCAGAGATGTTCTTTCTTCTTTAAGCAAGAGGCTTTCGGGCCTGGTCTCACTGCATGACTTCAGTGAAACCCTGAGTTAAGTTAAGCAATGTGACAAAGAGGAACATTCACCCCTCGGAGGTTGTTTCCTTTTAAGGGTCGGTGCAGTTTATTGTTCCAGTTTATTCAAGCATGCATAGCCACAAATAGCATGAATAGTCCTCCACCCTTTGCCACAGGCACGAGGAGGACGCAAGTTGGTAGACATGTTAGAACAATAACCAGCTTATTACAGATAGCCATTAATTTTTGCTAGATTAACTCTTACGCTTCACACTGTGTGCATGCAGGAATTTGACTTTTTCTCCAAAAAAACATTTGTGTTTGTTTGAGATTTACTTTGGTAAGCTAATTAAACCAATGGAAACTTTAGATATTTTGTTTTTTTATTAGTTTTAAATTCTTTCTCTGAATTTTTTATTTTTTTTTGGCATGTAATGCGTCTTACTAGAGACGTGGGGATAAGGGAGGGGCTCGACGTGCAACGCTTGTCCACACTTGTTCGGTACCAGAGCCATGATGTTAGTAAAGTACAAACTATGAAGACTGTAGCTGACGATAACAATGGAGATACAGACTCACACTTTGTGTGCTTATTCTGACTACATCTGTCATTTCTTGGTGCAGAATAACTCAGGATGAACCAACTTTAGCTTCTGCCTGGACTCTCTTGCGTGTCACAGAGTAATCACAAAACCAGATAGACATGCTTTTGTTACATACTAGCGTAGAACATAATCGTGTCATTTAAAAGAATGTTAATGATACACAAATGTGTTTGCACACTCCAGCTCTCAGCAGATGCTAGACATTGCATTTGTTCGCCTGCTGATAGTCATGGTAGCAGACACTCTCTCCTCCTACCTACGCTCATATCCTGAGTGTAATTCATTTGCCATAAAGGGATAAAGAAACATAATCAGCACACTTACATTAAATCTGACCTGAAGCATCATTATTAAAGGGATTTTCAGAAAAAGAAATACATCGTCCCACGCCTTCAGCTCTTCCTCGTTTACTGCATACATCAAATTTGAAGTTTTGAAGTCTGCATATGTGCAAGCTGTGGCGTATAGAGGACCCAGATACAGGACGCAGAACACTAAATCAGAAGTGAGCCTTTGTTGTAGCTGATAGATATACCCAAAAAAAAAATACACAAAGTCTACATAATATCTAAACATCGCCAAAACAAAGAAAAACAAAACAAAACAAGAAGACCAACAGAAATGTGCAATCTAAACAGGCAGAATGAGCACAGAGGCAACGATCAGCCAGAAGAAAGGAAGAGCACGACAAACACATGGGGAAGGGAATTCAGGATGCACGCACGCACACATGCTAAACACACGAAACACAGGTGCATGCAATGAGCAACAGGTGGAAGGAATGAGGGAATCAGGGGCCAGACAGGAAGTAACAGTAACCTCCAAAATAAAACAGGAAGCCAACAAAAGAGACTGATAGAATAACTTTGGAGACAAAGAGGGACAATTGGAAGCAATGGGGAGATTGCTGCTACTCCTTCTACTACTACTAATAGTAAACATTATAATAATAAAAGGCAGTAGAATTACAAATTAAAAGAAAACAAGCCAGGGCAAAGGCAGGAATTCAAAAAACAGAGTAGAAATAGTTACGGATTAAAAATGGTGTGTGTGTGTGTGTGTGTGTGTGTGTGTGTGTGTGTGTGTGTGTGTGTGTGTGTGTGTGTGTGTGTGAAGGCAGGTGACACTGGGCAGTGTAGTGTATATGTGTTGGATTTGTTTGGGAAAGGTGCAGGTTTACATCCAGCTCTGCACTTAATGGTGCCTGAAGAGCCAAATATGGATTTGTCATAGCAGCAAAGCGGCCGTTCAGCTATCTAAACACATGTGTAATGGATAGTATTATACTGAACTGGGCCAGCATTTTAACCCGCTCATGACTGAAAATCACATGTTATTACTTTAAAAAAAATACTAAAACTGAGAGAAAAATTCCCTGTGTTCTACTTTTTCCACTATTTACACATAACCAGCTCCTAGTTCAATAACACTGAACGAATATAAGAGCTGCACCGTTTGCGTTTAACTGAAGGGCAGCATTGCCCGAGGTGAGCTCCGAGTTGCAACCTGCTGTTTCTCTGGCGCCCCCTTCAGGACATACATCACATTGCCTGACAGCAGTCGGTGTGTGTGTCTCCTCACACTGTATCCGTGCAACAGGGTCTGGTGTGCCTCACGGGGTCCCTGCTATATGGACATACAGTTTTCTTGCAGTTCTGCAGAAAAAAAGGGGGTGGGGTGTCTTAAATACAGGCAGCGTTTACAGGCGAGCTCTGCGTGGATCACAGGTGAGGTCACAGCAATAACAGTCTTATATGTTCCAGCCGCTGCACGGTCATATCTCATTTTTCAAATCTCATGATGGGCGCCCCCTCCGTCCCGCTGATAAGCAGCATAACGGGGGGAGGAGCTCTCTCCTCACGGGGCTCCTCCTTCCGCTCCCTTAGTTTTCTTCCACTTGCTCCCCCCAACGCCACCCACCCCCCCTACACACACACACACACGCACGCACACTCATCTGCACCTCCTCCTGCTCTTCGCAGCTCCGATCGAGAGGAATAGAGGGCAGATTATGAGAATATACGTGAACGCCGAGGAGTAGCGGGGGTTCTTCTCCTCCTGTGAGCGGAAAAGGCGTCGCGGAGGACGGGAGAGAGAGGGACGCATCGTGGACAGAGACCGAGGAGACGGAGGGAGGAGGCGACAGCGGCTCGTAAACACGACGGAAAACGGCAATCAGCGCGGCAGAAAGCAGCTATCACCCCCTCTATCTCCCGCCTGGCACCACCAGCACCATCGACACTGGTGACATCCCCGAGTCCCTTCGCATCATTCCGTCTCCATCCTATTTTTGTACGTTATTGCTGTTTGGCTTTTGCTTTCCGTGCCTCTGCTGTGAGTATCTGTGGGGAGAACCGCTGCTCGTGTCTGTCGGAGGAGCAGCATCAGGGGCTGAGCTAGGATAGGAGGCTGTGAGCCATCACCCATAGGATCCCCCCGCCCACCCCCAGTCGGGTCCAGCTTGGGACGATTATCTGCACATCCGATCCGGCGGATAAAGGAAAAAACAAAAACAGCGAAGGCGAGTAACCCGCCTTCAGCAGAGTGAGAGAGAGAGACCCCGGCCCCAGTTATCAGCCAGTCTCCAGCATCACCGATGCGATGGCATAGTGGCTTCTGCAGTGCAACCGACAGGCTCGACTCCGATCAGCAGGGCTCTCATCCACCATGACCCTCTGAAAGACATCCGGCACAGGCACAGATGGGTAAGAGATGCTCCACTCTTTTATTTTTCTTTCCTGTTGTCTTTTCCCTTTATGTTGATTCCGGGATGTGGAGGTTGGGCGGGGAGTGTGCAGGGGTGGGGTGGGCAGGGGCGGGTTGTGACGTGTAGAAGACCCCTGCCATTGCACTGAGCCCAGGGTATAAGACTGCAATGTAAGAAGGTGTGTTTGTGCCCGAGTCAGGTTGTGGAAGTTGCTGAAAACAGAAGAAGACAGGAGCAGATGTGTAGACATGATTGTTCCTTACTGGGTTCATTGGAAATGTTTTGTCCTGTGTATGTTAGACTTGATGTTCAAGCACCATGACAGGCTAGTCTGCTGGCCATTCTGGGCACTGGAAGGAGATGTGAAATATGTGCAGAGATGTATCAGCCTCAAAGAAGCAGCGATACAAGATGCTAAAGACTAAAGCTGAGGCTAATCGTGCTCATGTTTCACGTCACTCAGTGGGTTGACGGTGCACTGGAACTTTAAGGTTTTGGCATTTGATTCTCATTAAGATACATCCATTAGATTCCCAACAGTACTCTTCTTCAGGCTGTCTAAATTGTGAGGTAAAGATCGGGCAGCATTACGGAAGGAACCAAGTGGCAATCAGCTGGCAACAGAAGAACTCCTCTTAACAGGAAGAATGAGAGCAGAACCTCCGTAGAGGCTAATTTCAGCCGTTTCAAACACCTGAAACGATGGAAGCCGTGAGTCTTGTCACCGCTGCTCACAGCTCAGCGTAAAGTTCTCCCAGCACATGACCTTAGAGGTCTGAATCATCCTTTTCCAAGCAGCTGACTTCTGTTTGCGACAGCCGAGGCCTTCACTGAATAACTCTACTTTCCATGTCTCGTCAAAGTGAAACCAAAACCAGAACACAACCTCTGCTAGCTGAATTCTTTTCTAATTTCCCACAGGAGTGAGTCTGCTGCTCCCTGACTGGTGCTTTGGGATATCCAACCCTGCTGCGGTGGGGGTGCGAGTACTACGGGGTTGAATAAGCCGATCCACCATTGAGCAGGCTTTGCGTGAGCTTGATCGAAGGTTTTGACTATTAGAGTTCTGTGGAAAGAAAACAGTAAACCTCTTCCTGTTTCAATACGTCAGCCGTTACTCTGGAGCATAACAATTAATCGGCTGTAGCTCCATTAGAGAGGCTCTGTGGTGCAACAATAGCAGACTGCACTACCTGGCAGATCCCAGGTGTGACTACACGAAGCGGTGCGTCAGTGATGAGCGCGCTCATTCAGTTCTCCGAGGATAAAGATGCTTCTTTTGGGCTTTTTCTTTTTTACAATGTCTGTTTAGTAACGACACAAATTTGAGAAGTTCTAAGTTGGTCTAAGTTGGATCCACAGTGAGATAGTGGGCTAACACTTCGACTTTTCCTGGCAGCTGTTTGGTACCAGATCAGTACCTGGCAGGGTGTAAAGAGAGCAGGCAGGAAATGAATTTGAGCTAGAGGGCAGCAGGAAGTTTCTCACCATGCTTACAGCTTACAGAAGGATTTCTGCTGCTGCGGTTGTCTGCAGTTATCACGACGTGCGTTCAAATGGTCCACCGATGTCCTAACAAACATCCCACAGCCCCACGTTTCAAACAGCAGCATCAACAAAGACCGTCTCTCACGGGAATGCTGGCCTTTTAACTTCACAGTTGATGCTGATGCTGAGAGACAGGGCCTCGTGCAAGAGTCTGTGAGGTGTGTGTGTGTGTGGTAACGGTGGTAGTGTTTGCAGGAGGAGGAGCAGAAACTGAAAGGGTTTGAAACACACTGCAGTCAGAATGAAGACGTGCAGCGAGCAAGACAGGGAGCGAACGGATGCACTGGATGACTAGTGAGGATGAGGGAATAGTACTCGGTAGGCCTGGGTGGAGAGAGGGGGGCCCTTAAAAACTGCCTGGACTCGGCAGATCCACCTGAGCCCCACAGCTGAAGCTCGCATCATTTGCCAGATTTGATTAAGAGCACACTCAAGAGATTTCTCCCACTGTCGCTCATACGCTGTCAGTTTCTCTTCAGGTCTGCTTTACTGGCACGTATAAGAGAGAGGAAACCTCGGATAAGGGAGCCGAAAACGTGAAGCGTGCCGCGACCGTTACGGGAAAATCCTAATCTGCCAAATCTCACGTTTTGTTTTTTTTACCCTGCAAATGCAGGAACCCCTGACTTCTGTCTAACTCCTGACAAAGAGGCGAATAAGCGTTGAACCTGTCGTTTAAGGCCGCGAAACGCAGACCGACAGATGATTTGTCCTCTGTCTGTTTTTCCCAGCGGCAGCAGAAAACAAACTTCGCTGCTGGTCCCATCATCCGCCCGGTTTCTAATACGAGGAATGCTGAAGCTTTTTCAAAACGTGATCAAATTTTAGGTTATAGTACACACAAAACCTCTTCTCTGTAGTTCAATCAGCATGCATCCTTTCATCCTTTTCTCCTCTCATACAGTTTTTTTCATTAATGCGTGCCCTCTATCTTCCCCCGCCGCCACCCCCCCACAGCCTGCGACTCAGGTTGCAAGGCCGAAACAAATGGCTTTGCTGGCACACAGAGAGGCTGTCAGTTAAAATTGCCAGGGGTGATCTGGGTTTACGCGCCCAGATCAGCAGCCTTTTTCCTGTTGCACTACATCCTGTTTCGCAGGCTCTCCCTTTTCTTTTCTTCTTTGTTCTTCCTTTTTTTGTTAGGAAATCAGCTGTTAGTGCCAACTCGCCCAAGAGTCAAATGTCTTGTAATGATAATATTGCATTGACTGCAGATCAAGTTCGAGAAGGATTTTGACGCTCTCGAATCTCAGAAGGAAACGGCAGCCTCTCCGTTGCTTCTTGAGTCAAATGCGCTGAAATTTGTAATAAGAATTTTTTTTAAAAAGCGAGAATGTGTGCAGGAAACGGCCACAAACCAGTCTTGTTGTTATAAGCAGATGGAGGCGGACATCTGATATCCTGCAGTGTGCGAACGCCACTGAAGGACAGCAAAAGGGCAGCGAAGACAGATTTGCATGAACGAAGGAAAATCCCAAACAAAGCAAGAGCTGGCTGACTTTTGTTCACTAGGATTGGCTTTCTAGTATTGCAGTAGAGTGGATGTAAACACGGGTAGTGCAACAACCCACAAAACACACACAAAGGAATACTATTTTCAGAATTAGGGTGGAGCCACCTGCATGTGTTGCTTTAGCTGCTGGCAGTGGGTGTGCCCAACAGGTGTGATCATGTTAGTGCCAATCAGTCGCTCACCAAGCTAACAGAGCTTTGATTAGCACTCAACATGAAGCAGGCCAGCTGCCTGCTGCCAGCTCTGTTCATGCGCTAACTCGCCGCCACCATCGTCACTTCCTGATGCCCAACAGCTGGCTGCACATGCAGCTACTTCGACCTCTTGCTTTGTTTTTTTTCACAGATTGCTTGAAAAGTTCCGCTTTTCTTGGGTTTCAGCCTAAGAAGTGAAAGCAAAAAGTGACAAATTCACAGTTCAGCGTGACCGTGTGTGAGGGCACAGAGCGGGTTGAGGTAAGAAGCCTGAAAAATGTTTGTGTGAATGCCTCCTCAGGGCCCCTTTTTAAAGTGGCCTGCAAGGTGGACCGGGGTCCAGAATGTTGCGCCGTTTAAGCAGAGCTGTTTTCAAAGTGATCTGAAACGGGTCTTGAAGGGATCTTTGAGAAACGCGTGCATGTGCAGTGAGGGATGAAGTGAGAAGTGGTGACCAAAAAGTGTTGCAACTGAAACTAGTTCTGATTCTGGAGCATGCAGTTTTAGCCCGTGCCACATTTTCTGCACGCTCCTGAAGTGGAACAGTTGTAGCCCGGTTCAGCAGCTGCTGGATGAATGTAAATGGATCCCGGTCGCCATCACTCGTTTGGGGGAAGCAAGTTTCCTGCTGAGCGGGTTTAAAATGGAGAACGATGTTGAAGGGAATGTAAAGGATGACTGGCTCCTGCTTAGAGTAACTCTAGCTCACCTCCACACTGAGGAGTGCTGCTGATGAAACTGGAGCTGAGGGAAGCCGAATTATCCTGGAGGCCACGTTGGTCCCAGCAGTTACTGCTAACATGATCTTTATTCCGTTTGTTGTGAGTGCGTTGTTTTCAGTGCTGAGGCACAGGGCAAGCACTAAAGCAGTTAGAAGCAGTTGTCTCCTCCAGCCGGCGGGTAAACGACTCAGCAACACGGCAGGAAAAGCTTCAAAATAATCAGTGTAAATGTACCTGGATCATACAATATCTATGTTGCATCATTACCGCCATGGCTGTAATCTGTGCTGTGCACAAGCTGGAGTCGTCCCAGCTTCCAGGATGTGAAGATCGTACTGAGCTCACCCCACTAGCAGGTTAGGTGCACAGCTTGCCTCTGCTGCTGCTGGGGGAATTGAGCTGTGTTCCACCTCTGATCTGGCATCTGTAGACAAACGCACACACTCACTCACTGGGCTGGGCCTGCTGGCTGTGCTCCCACTATTCCTGGAGAGTCAGTCTGACAAACACATACATCTCTTTCCTTGTTTGACATCTTATTTCACGCCGTGTGCATACAGACCCTGCCCTAGAAAAGACTGAGCGTTGCATGAAACGTGGATAAAAAAGGAGAGCGCTGATTTGGAATCCCTCTCATGTGTTTATCCAGTGTAATCTAATCCAGATCTCCTGCACATACCTGCATCACGATCAGCCCCTTCTGCCCACATGTGCTGCAGGATCAAGTGTTTAAAGACAGCACTCGGGAAGGGGTATTTGGGGGAAGTGGGAAGGTGCACCCCCCCACCTCGCCTTAGGCTTGAGTGTTCCCAGTCCTCATTAGACGGTCGGGGAGTGTTTGATGCCTGGATGAACGAACAGCTACAGAGTTTTCCCGCCACTGTCGCTGTCACGCGACGAGCTGCGCTGATAAAAATAACATCTCGCAGCTCAACAGGTGAAAGGTGGCGCTCTGGTGTTCTATGCTGAGAGCTGAGAAGCTATCATGTCAGCTGCACCTGTGTGTGTGTGTGTGTGTGTG